CAAGCCTCTACAATTGAATGCTACAGCTTTAAGGTACAAATCTGGAACTCAGAAGATGCTCCATCGGATTTCTTTCACCTTAGCCACAAGATTACTCCTTTATAATAATATTTTCATTGTTATCTATAGTGTATTATTGTAGTATCTTGTACTTGCAGCTACATGCATTCATTAATAATCTGGCTGTTAGGATTTGATTGGAAAAATTCTGAATTGTAAACCACAACTGTTTCTTGTCCCCTCCCACTCCTCCCCCCATGCTTGCCACTCCTAGCAGTAAATACCTTGATATAACTGTTTATCTCGACTCCCTCTCTAGGCCCATTTTCCACACCATCCCTGCTGCAGGCCTCTACAATTCTACTCGGCTCAAACCACCCACCCTCCTGCCCACCCAGGTTCCCCCTAAATTTATAGCATGCTCCTCCAGCTGCTTAAAATGTTCACTCACTTACCTCTTCATTCCCTCTATATTCTACCAATATCTGCAACTCTCTGTTTCCTTATTTAGCCATCACTCCCAAATTTCCCTGCTACCTCATGTCTCAAATCCCCACGGTATCCTTTAGATTGTAAGCTCACGGCTAGATTTGTGGCTAGATTTCGGCTTACGGGCACGGTACTCTCTACCTTTTGTTTTTGTGTGTGTTTATTGTATGTTCTCCACTAATTATACAGCACTGCGGAATCTGTTGGCGCTTTATAAATACCAGTAATAATAATAAGAAGGTAGGCGGGCGGAGGCAGCATTATGCTCTGGGCAATGTTCTGTGGGGAAACCTTGAGTCCTGGCATTTATGTGGATGTTACTTTCTACCTAGAGATTGTAGCAGATCCCACCCCTTCATGGCAATGGTGTTCCCTGGAAATGCACCTTGCCACACTGCAAAAATGTTCGGTAATGGTTTGAGAAACATAACGAGTTAAAGGTGTTGATTTAGCCTTTAAATCCCCAAATCTCAATCAAACTGCAAATCTGATCCATGGAGGTCCCACCTTGCAACTTAAAGGATCTGCTGCTAATGTGTTGGTGCCATTTATCACAGGACATGTTCAGAGCTCTTGTGGAGTCCATGCCTTGGCATATCAAAACTGTTCTGGTAACACAATGGGTTCTACACGATATTAGGCAGGTTGTTTTAATGTTGTAGCTGATCAGTATAAGTATTCGTCTGACAAAGAGATATTTATTTGAAATGATTCAGCTATTGGTCTGAAGGATATAGACAGGGCCAGTGCAAGAATTCTTGCCGCCCTACGCAACAATCCATATAAACCTCCCCCAGAGGTTTATTCACTAAACTCTGAATTGCAGTGAAGAGACATTTAGGGAAAGAGACGCACCGAGTAGACATTAAAGGGAAACTATGTTGCCAGGAAAACAAACTTCCCACTCCGTCAAGTTCACCCCCTCACCCCCCATGGCGCAGAAGAGGCTAAAAAAACCTTCTGCCACGTACCTGGGTCCAGCACTGACTGTCTAATGGCCGCATTAGGATTTCACCACAGGTAAGCATTATACAATGTTTTCCAATGGGGGTTTGAGTGCCACTGGACACCCCCATGAATAGCCACTAGAGTTTCTTAAAAACTGCAATAGTTACCTTTGCAGGGTTAACAGCCCTAGGACAGTGAGCTGAAGTGGTCTGGGTGCCTATAGTGTCACTATAAGTGAAAGCAGACGCACAGTGAGAAATTTAGAGAACGGAAACAGCCTGTGGAGACATTAGGGAAAGGAGACTGATTAGATATTTAGGAAACAGAGAATGGGAAACATTTTAGGAGAGAGACATAGTGAACACACCTTTAGGGGAAAGAAAGAGACACACTCTCACTAATACACACACTCACTGACATACACAGTGTCACTTACACACTCTCACTAACATACACAGTGTCACCTAAACACTCTTACTAACACCAAACAATCTCGCCAACATAGACATTATCAGTTACATACTCTTACTAACACCACACACTCTCACCGGCATAGACATTGTCAGTTAGACACTCTAATTAACACACACTGTCACTTACACACTCTCACTAACACACACACAGTGTCACGTACACATACTCACAAACACAATGCCACTTGCACACTCTCACTAACACACCTACAGTGTCACCTACACACTGTCACTGACTTACACAATGTCACTTACACATTCTCACCAACACACACAATGTCACGTACACTCTATCGCTAACACACACACTGTCACTTGCATACTCTCACTAACACACACAAACCCAAAGTCACTTACACATACTCACTAAGACAGTGTCACTTGCACACTCTCACTAACACACACCCAGAGTTACTTACACACTCTCACTAACACACACACTGTCAATTGCACATTCTCACTAACACACACCGAGAGTCACTTACACATTCTCACTAACACATCCAGAGCCACTTGCACACTCTCACTAACACACACAAACCCAAAGTCACTTACACATACTCACTAAGACAGTGTCACTTGCACACTCTCACTAACACACACCCAGAGTTACTTACACACTCTCACTAACACACACACTGTCAATTGCACATTCTCACTAACACACACCGAGAGTCACTTACACATTCTCACTAACACATCCAGAGCCACTTGCACACTCTCACTAACACACACTCAGACACACTTGCACACACTAACTTACTTACACACTCTCACTAACACACACACTGTCAATTGCACATTCTCACTAACACACACCGAGAGTCACTTACACATTCTCACTAACACATCCAGAGCCACTTGCACACTCTCACTAACACACACTCTCACTGATATATGTAGTGTCACTTATACACTTTGACTAACACACACACAGACACTGTCACTCTAACACAAACTCACACAAGACAGCAGCAGGGCAGCCCACCTAGGAACTTCCCATGGGCGCCCCCCCAGATGGGAGCACCGACCCTGGGTATAAAAAACATTTTTTATTTGTGACCATTATTTTGATTTAGCTGTATCACTGCCTTTGTATTTTTTCTGGGTTGTTTTATTGGGTTGACATTTTTTTGTTTAAGTTTTTTTTCCCCCACAGTCATCAACCCATTTTCTATGTCAATACGTGATACCATTTTCCCTATCACAAAGTATCAAAGTATACCATGGGAATTTAATTTAGCGGAAACATTGCACTTTGTTTCATACGATTTACATAATACCTAGTGTTTGCCACAGTATTTGCATCCAGTGCTTCCATTATGCCGTTTTTATAAAGAAATCAGACAGGTTAGACCAATGCCACAGCTGACTGCCTGTCCTGTACGCCCATTGTTACTGAGGTTTGGCATCACACAAATATTAAGGAGAAAAGAACAAGCTTTGGCTTGTGCCTTATAACAGTGCATCAATAGCCGAGGACATATTTCGGAAAGAAGTCTTAGTACAGTTATATGGTTTTGTATACGATTTCGAATTGATTGTGTTGTCAAGAATAATGCAAACTGGCTTAAGCTTATTTATTTTCAGCTCATTGATGGCATTGCATGCGATTTGCAAAATGACTGTATAATTTCCTGGCCTTGGGATTTGCTATTACTCTTGAAATTTGGAAACTTCCCCATCAAATATTCTACTGGGGCCTTTTTTTCTGATCTCTCGAAAACATCACGCCACTTTGAAGTGGTATTAAACTTCTCAGACAATTTATACAAGAACTGCCTGCAGGGTGTCCCCATGGGGTCATGGTCCACTAAATGAACTGTGATTTTAGTGTTACCCCACCTCAACTGTCTTCATTACTATTCTTCGCACAGTGTCAGCCAAGAATGACTCAATACTCAGTGAAGCCTTAAATAGAAGCGGATGCTCAGTTTGAAAAATACTGCTAATACCCAGTTATTTGCTGAGCCATTGTGATAGTGTGTGTTTGAGAGATGTGGATAGGCAGCAGTAGCCCGTGTGTGCCTAGTTGTCTGTATGTGTGCTTGGTCACATGCGCATGTTTGTATATCTGTGTAGGTGTTTGGCTGTTTGTGTTTGTAAGTATGTATATGGCAAAATAAATGTTTGAGTGGCTAATTTTACGTATGCACTAGTGAATGTGACTTGTTGTTTATCCTTGGCTCTTCTTGTGAATATATTATTTTATTATCACTCAGGTACGAATAGGCATACAACGTCATGTGCACAAATGGGCACTCAGGTCCATCAATGCAGGAAAAGATTGGCTTCACAGGACAGAAAGGAGATTTGCAGTAATAACAATAACAATGCAAGACACACAGATCCCACATATAAACTGGTTATTCTTGTGTGTGTGTCAGTGTGATAGAAAGTGTGGATGTGAGAATGCATTATGATGACATTGCCTAGGGCACTGTCATCTTAATGGCAGAAAGCCAAATTGAAGCGCTGAGTTCCAGGATAGAGCAGTGTGGATTTTTACATTTAATATTATATCTCAGGCCTTTAATAAAACTGAATTTTAAATGTTTTTGGAAAGTGACAGCCCACATTTAACGGTTTCAGTTATTTAAAATTTCACGTGGTCTTTGGTTAGGTACAAAAAAATGGGATATGCACTAAAGATAAATATTACCTGATACAGTTGCAAGAAAAAGTATGTGAACCCTTTGGAATGATATGGATTTCTGCACAAATTGGTCATAAAATGTGATCTGATCATCATCTAAGTCACAACACTAGACAATCACAGTCTGCTTAAACTAATAACACACAAAGAATGAAATGTTGCCATGTTTTTATTGAACACACCATGTAAACATTCACAGTGCAGGTGGAAAAAGTATGTGAACCCTTGGATTTAATAACTGGTTGAACCTCCTTTGGCAGCAATAACTTCAACCAAACGTTTCCTGTAGTTGCAGATCAGACGTGCACAACGGTCAGGAGTAATTCTTGACCATTCCTCTTTATAGAACTCTTTCAGTTCAGCAATATTCTTGGGATGTCTGGTGTGAATCGCTTTCCTGAGGTCATGCCACAGCATCTCAATCAGGTTGAGGTCAGGACTCTGACTGGGCCACTTCAGAAGGCGTATTTTCTTCTGTTTAAGCCATTCTGTTGTTGATTTACTTCTATGCTTTGGGTCATTGTCCTGTTGCAACACCCATCTTCTGTTGAGCTTCAGCTGGTAGACAGATGGCCTTAAGTTCTCCTGCAAAATGTCTTGATAAACTTGTGAATTCATTTTTCCTTCGATGATAGCAATCCGTCCAGGCCCTGACGCAGCAAAGCAGCCCCAAACCATGATGCCCCCACCACCATACTTCACAGTTGGGATGAGGTTTTGATGTTGGTGTGCTGTGCCTTTTTTTCGCCACACATAGTGTTGTGTGTTTCTTCCAAACAACTCAACTTTGGTTTCATCTGTCCACAGAATATTTTGCCAGTACTGCTGTGGAACATCCAGGTGCTCTTGTGCAAACTGTAAACGTGCAGCAATGTTTTGTTTGGACAGCAGTGGCTTTCTCTGTGGTATCTTCCCATGAAATCCATTCTTGTTTAGTGTTTTACGTATTGTAGATTCGCTAACAGGGATGTTAGCATTTGCCAGTGACTTTTGTAAGTCTTTAGCTGACACTCTAGGATTCTTCTTCACCTCATTCAGCAGTCTGCACTGTGCTCTTGCAGTCATCTTTACAGGACGGCCACTCCTAGGGAGAGTAGCAGCAGTGCTGAACTTTCTCCATTTATAGACAATTTGTCTTACCGTGGACTGATGAACAGCAAGGGTTTTGGAGATACTTTTATAACCCTTTCCAGCTTTATGCAAGTCAACAATTCTTAATCGTAGGTCTTCTGAGAGCTCTTTTGTGACCAATTTGTACAGAAATCCATATCATTCCAAAGGGTTCATATACTTTTTCTTGCAACTGTATGTATACTGTGGCGAAAGCCACGTTGCCACTGGGTTTTGGAGAGGGCAACTTGCCAGCCTTTTACCTTGTGATTATGGCCTTGCAGCCTTATAGTTTTACAATCCAGTATCGACCCGGGAAACAAAATGGCAACGCAGATGGATTATCCTGACAAACAGAACTCACCCCCTATCCATACAAACAGAACTCAGCCCCCTTAACCCGAAAAGGGTGATCCGGGTCTGCCGGGTGTTCCACAAAAAGGGAGCATTGTGACAGATCCTCTGTCTCTGGGTTATAAATCTATCCTCTGGTTTGTCTATTTGTTCACCTAAACCCTCTGCCATTACCTTGCTGGTTCGTCTATTTGTTCACCTAAAACCTCTTCCATTCACTTGCTGGAAAATGGCACTTCGGATACAGTCGAAGTGTCAAAGTAGTCGAACACGTGGCGGAGGCCATCTTATTTAGTCGAACACGTTCAGCTTTATCGTCGAGTTTATGGAACTCAAATCAGATACGCGATGGCACGAACACCGCTGAACAGTTGCCTTCCAGAGAAATTCAACTATTCATTCGTATAGTCGAACGACGTTCGGTAAATCAAAGCCCATGAACAAGAGACACACTTTAATTATGGCCATTCACCATTCCGTTCGGTAATTTGAATGGTAATTCAACTGTTTTAAATAGACTGGCCGCACAGCCTAATTCTCTGGAACTGTTTTGGGCATGAAATCCTGTGTTCGCATGGGCAAAACCATGACTTCCATAGAATTTCTGAACCCCTGATTTGATTTTTGGATATGTTGGTCACCCAGATCAGGGCTATCAGGGGGTGTACGATGTTATGAGGATATGTTGAGTTTTGGGGTAATTATTGGACTTGATAAAAATGTGTGTTTTTTATGCCTGTGGATAATTAAGTTAATGCATTAACTACCTTACTTATATTACAGGCAGAGGGGAGGGATTGTGTGCTGTATGTGGGAGTGTCGGACATTGTTATACTGTTCTTATTGATCTGTACAGTTTGTAATGCGGTGCTCCATCAGGTCCAGAGGGTGTGCCTTTGGCCTGAGGAATTGTATATAAAGCCAACCTGTCCCATTAAACCTTCAGACCTACTTCACCCTCAATACTGGGTTCTGTCTCTTATTGGGGGAAACTGCTATAATCACACTGGGGATTGCTATACTCTGTATATTCCCCTGGGCTCTAATCACTTAGCTCTTCTAAGAGCTGTTCCTTTTGCGCTCTCCTGGAGGAGAGGTCTTCCCCACACAGTCCTGGATGTCAGAGGTGGTTCCAGGGTGGGTTGGAGACTGCGAGATCCCAACCAAGCTGCGGCGGTTCGTGGGGTCTGCAGTACTTATGGTGTCCTCTGCGGTGCTGATGGTTCTTGGTGAGCATTAGGAGTATCCGTCGGCGGAGGTACCCGACCGGGGTACAGGAAGCTCCGTTACATATACTCTACAAAATACAATTATTTTCAATAATAATAAAAATTATAACCGTCTTCCTTTTTGCAGCCAGCTGTATAATTTATTTGAAATGTAAAGGGATACTATAGTCACCAGAATCATTAAAGTTTAATGTAGTGGTTCTGGTGTCTATAGCCTGTACCTGCATGTATGTGTTGGTACGTGGCACCAGAATCTATGTTGATTGTTTATTTGTAAACAGAGAGCTGAAAATATGATATCCTTTTGTCTTAAAGGGACACTATAGTCACCAAAATAACTTTAGCTTAATGAAGCAGTTTTGGTGTATAGATCATGTCCCTGCAGTCTCACTGCTCAATCCTCTGCCATTTAGGTGTTAAATAATTTTGTTTATGAACCCTAGTCACACCTCCCTGCATGTGACTTGCACAGACTTCCTAAACACTTCCTGTAAAGAGTAATCTAAAGTGTATCCTTCCTTAGATTTTCTTATTCCCTGCTATGGTATGCACCCTTCACACACATCCCTTACCCCTTCACGCACACCCCTTACACACACTGTCCTCCTCACACACACTGCTCCCTCACACAGACTGCCCCCCTTCCACACAGTCTGCCCCCTCACATACACACACTACACCCCTCACTAACACACACTGCACCCTTCACACACACACACACACACACACAATGAACCTTTCACCCACATACAGCGCTTCACCCACATACAGCACCCCTCACACACACACACACACACTGCCCCTCTAACACACACACACACACACACACACACACACACACACTGCCCCTCTAACACACACACACACACACACACACATCCCCTTCACACATAAACACACACACAGCACCATTCACACACACAGCACCTCACAGACACACATATAAAAAAAAGGAGAATAAAAAAAGGGGAAAAAATAGATAAATTTAAGTACATTTTATTTGAAAGAAAACCCTAATTTCTAAAAAAAAAAATTGTTTAAAATTACACTTGCGCTATAAAATTAGTTACTGGGGCAGTAAGGAAATTTTACCCACTGGGGTGGGCGGTAAGGAAATTTTACCATCAACAAAAATACAAAAGTGGGCGGTAGGTATTAAAAGGTTGACTACCCTTGGTTTAAGGTAAATTACATCTGATTGAAAGTGAAACCAGATTTTTCATGCAGGCTCTGTCAATCATAGCCAGGGGAGGTGTGGCTAGGGCTGCTTAAACAGAAACAAAGTGATTTAACTCCTAAATGGCAGTGAATTGAGCAGTGAAATTGCAGGGGAATGATCTATACACTAAAACGGCTTCATTAAACTAAAGTTGTTTCGGTGACTATAGTGTTCCTTTAATATACATAAAACACATCTTTATTTATCTGATGCTTTAATTTAGACCATAAAATTGTAAATCCCTAAACTCGCTCGAATGTCACACGTTCTTCCAGCCAGCCAAATTCCAACCAATCTAGACATAACAAAATAAATATTAATTTTCTGTTCTATTAATAACTTCTTCTCCTTCCCTAGTTTATTTTTTAACTTATTTGAAAAAGATCAGCGGTTTCTTTCTGTTAAACATGTTGAGGATTGTGGAGTTAGGAGGTTTAACATATCATGGTGTGTTTTCTTTTTGGTTGGTTGCTTATTTCATGTGTTTTACACATTTTCCTCATCTGTTAAATTTGTTTTGAGTTCAGGAAAGGTGAGGTTTTCACAAGAAGTAGAGGTATTTCCCAGGTGTGTTTAATAGACTTGGATTGCAAAATGAGATCTAAAGCAGGATGACTGGCATGTAAATAAAATATGAAAATTATAGATTTATGCTGCAAAATGCAGACCAATATATATATATATATATTTATTTTTTTTTACTTAATGGGAACACCGGACCCCTAAAGCATTATAGCTTGCTGAAAACTTTGTGTGAACAGTGTGCCCTCTTTTTTTCATTTTACCAAAAGTCCAGATTTCAATAGAAATTGGCACTTTTATAAATTACCTTGGTTACACCCCCTGGCTTTCAAGCAGATGACCTGTTCTGTTACTTCCTGGTTTGGTTAACTCAGTGGAGCTCAACTCAAGAGGCAGCAATTGCTCAGAGTACCTGCCTTGCAAAGACTTCTCATTGAGCTTCACTGGATAGTCTGTGATTGGACAGCCAAACAAACGCCTCCCTAGGAGTCAGGAGTTATAACAAAAAAAAAATAAAAAAAATAATGAAACAATGATTTAAATAAGACATCAATAACCTCAGTAAATCCTATGCAACAAAAAGCAAAAAAACCCAAAAAAATAGAATAAAAAATAAAGTGGTATGAAAAATGTTGAATTCTAAATTGTTCCTTATTATTATTTAGCATTTTAATAGTAATTAAGATCTATTTTTTTATTTTATTGTACTTATTAATTTATTGTGCATATCCTTTTGAGTTTACTTGCACCCTTATTAGAAAAGCAAAATAATTAACTTTGTAGAAAAGGAACGACTTTGCACGAAGCTACAATTACCTTTATGTCTAGAACAGTGTACATTTGCTTTTGGAAAATGTGTGGGATTCTAAATATGCATCACACGCATTCATTTAGCATTCGTGCATTGTTCGTGATTTACATTTTTGTTTTAAGCACTTGGCTGTAAAATATTACTGATCCAAGGAGGCATTCTCAAGGAGAACAGGATAAGTTGACTCCTGGAGGCCCCATATATACGCTACAGACATCTTTGTATAGAACCACATACGCTGGAGATTTAGAAAGCAAAATATAAATCAATATTCATTAAATTTGTATTCTATAATAAAAAAATCTAATTAATATTCTTTTATTTACTTTGATTTATTATCTTTACAGCCATTTTCAAGCAACAGAATGGTTAGTACATCTGGGTTTTGTTTTGTAGAGGTTACATAATACTACTGTGTGATCAATACTTATACAAGGTAATTCTCAATTCTCAGAAAACAATTGGCAACATATGCACATGTAAAACAAAGAAAAAAAGAATTCAACAATTATCAAAATCATACAAAATTCTCCACCCCTCGCTAGGTTGCTTTATGTTGCTTGTAGTATAGCT